CACAAGTTGATCTACGGATCGTTCCTTAGCCGTGTGCGGTGCCCCCCTCCACCATATTCCACCTCGGTCATATCGTCGCGGAGTTTAGGCGAAGCCCTGCGCCGGTAGAGCATCATCATCGTCACCACGCCGTCGTGCTAACGGAACTCATCCCCGAAGCTTTGCTGGATCGGAGCCCGGGGATCTTCATCGAGCTGAACGTGTGCTGAACTCGGAGGTGCCGTACGTTCGGTACTTGGATCGGTCGGATCGTGAAGACGTACGACTACATCAACCGCGTTGTCATAACGCTTCCGCTTACGGTCTACGAGGGTACGTGGACAACACTCTCTCCTCTCGTTGCTATGCCATCACCATGATCTTGCGTGTACGTAGGAATTTTTTTGAAATTACTACGTTCCCCAACACCTCAACAGTATTACTGTGCTCCCAACTATACTGTCTATTCCAAGCTTGTTCATATGTTACTTCAGGCTGAAAAGCATGATGAGCTACTCACTAATAATGGCTCTCAGCGCCCAGTTGGGGCACAACCTTTACCTGAAGTTCATATGAATGTCACAAATAGACAGAGGTTTGATGGTGCCTTTAGGGGCAATCAATCAAATTTTCAGAACAAGCGAAAGTGCAATAGGAACAGGAGGTCTAGGAACTCACACAAGGGAAAAGGCACTGCAAAGCCCAATCATGATAAATCTCAGCTTTGCAACAAGTGTGGATGCTACACTCACCCCACTAACAAGCGCAAGATCCCAAAGCATCTGGTTATGTTGTACCAGCAATCTCAGGGACGCAGAGCACCTCAAGGAAGAGGTTCAAAGCCACTTCAACCTTCATCCAGACGTGGCCACCGGTAGTTCGGATGACGTTCCTCCTGGACCAAGCAACACCATGGCATTCCATCAACTAGAGGACCTTACTGACACGAAGAACAGGATGATTTGGTATACCTCAAATGACGTGTTTGGAGACTTCGGCTAGTCCCACAATTCTTTAGTGATCTATTTAGCTATGTCCATTTGTGATGTTGTAATAAGAACATAAGTATTATTGTTGTCTTTATATTGTATCAGCACATTTGTTATAATAAGAATGTAACTGTGCCAACATATTTGATATAAATAAGATTGCATTCTATGTATTTACATGAGATTTTCTCATTGAAAGTTCTTTGTCTTATATATAGTTCTCTACAGTGACAATCAAATGAAAGAGGAATTATGCCTTGTGGACAGTGCAACCACAAACTCCATACTGAGGGAGATGAAATATTTCCAAACTCTTAAAAAGATGAATGGAGATATTCTAATTATCGCTGGACACGATACGGTAATCGTTGGCACTGGACGTGCGACATTTACCCTCCCAGGGATACACAAGTGACAATTGAGGATGCTTTGTTGTATCATAAAATACAATCTGGTGATGTTCGAACGGTGCTCTGCACAATCTGGTGATGTGTGAACAGTAGCACCGTTCGCACATCCATCGGACTCTAGGGGTGTGTTTGGTTCAAGTTGTGAACAGTAGATGCATTGCATACACATCTCAACCCAGCCTGGTTGAGCAAAAACAGCCCCGAATACGTCATCTGCAAGTTGTTTGGTTGTGTGCATCTAGGGTCCCTGCATTAGGTAATATGCAAGTGCACTTTGTTTGGTTGCCTGCATTGGCCCAAGCGGCACATGAACACGGTGTTTGGTTGCATATGGCATACATGGTGTGCTTACCTTGTATCCTAGTTGGTGAGCTTACCCACAATGATCACATCTAGCACACCAATGCCACAACACAGCAATGGCGATGAACTGGGCGAAGATGATGAAATTCTTCAGCTTCAGCCCAAACTGACGATCCACCTTAGCACCTTCCACTTTGACACCTCTAACCTTGCCACTGTCAACACTGCTGCCTCCGTGCTTTCGCACCCAGTCGGAGTAGCTTGTTCTGCTACCTGCCTAGTCATGAACCCTCTATGGTTGCTGTTGCTATACGATGCCACTTGTGCACTCGCTTCTTCCCATGAATTATAAACCCTTGGAGCCTTACTGATGAACACGACATACCACTTGCCCTAGCAATGCACAAGAACAAGAGTTGAAGCAGCAAATCAATGGAGCACACAAGTAGCAAGCAAAGTAGCACACAAACAACAATGGAGCAGAAGAGAAGAAGTAAAGCATGCATGATCATACGGCGTAGCAAGTTCTACCTAGCACTACCATGATGTTATCCTACCACCACATCCAAAAGAGGGTGTCGTCCTACCACCGCAAGTTCACCATCATCATGAGGGGTTAGTATATACCACCTCACCAAAATATATAGACCATCAAATAGTTTTCCAACCCTAGCTACACAAAATGTACGTCGTCATTGTCATCATCATCGTCGCCACCGCCATCACCGTCGGGGATCATGCACGCTCACAGGCAGCACTACTCTAGTAGTAGTGCTTGCCCAGCCAGCTCCTGAGCCACAGCACCCTGTGAGCGTCTGCCATGGCAAAGAACCCAACACCCTGGGCCTTGTTGTCAAGCAGGTGGTTGAGAGCTGCCATGAGAGCCTCGTCGCTGATGCCACCCTGGGTCATGACAGCGCCATACAGGTTAGGGTGGACGTCAAGGGGCTTGCACTCCCTGATGGCTGCTGCCACCTTCTTCATTGCCTCAGTCATGCTGCAAAAGACATTGATCTCCTCCTCCATCAGGCCTCCTCTCTTCCTCTTCCTATCATGGACGGGGTCAAAGGGCTTGTCAGGGTCATCAAGGACCTCGGCGTCCGAGACCGAGGGAAGTCTGGCATGGGAGAACCAAGAGGCTCCCCCGAGCCCATGGCATGCTTCCTAGTTGCCAGCCCGAAGGAGAAGATGTGTTGCATCTGGTTGTAGTTCTGTATGGGTGTGTTAAGGAACTCAGCGTCCCTTGGGTGGTCCTAAGAATGAAACACAAGTTTTGTTAGTTGCGATTAGGAGTAGGCAATGGTGGACAGTATGAAAAGGAAGAGGGTTGTGAGCTAACCGCGACATGGCCGGCGTAGTGCTCCTGTCTCCAGAACTATGGAGCAAGTGTTCTCATCCCATGAGGCGCCGCTAAGGTCTCTCAGCGTGGACACTTGAATCCATCGATCTCTCCACTTCCTCAAGTGGTTGTACACCTGGGTGGTGGACACCTCCTGCCCACAAAACTCGAACACCTGCTTTGCAACGGTGTTCAAGTGCACCTCCTTGAAGCCCTTGTCAGTCCTAACTCCGCTGCAGATGAGCTCACACATCTTGTTCAGCACGAACGTGGACATGAACGGCTTCCACTTCATGTTGTTCGACCTACCATCATTCTTTGCCTTTGCTGTTGCTACCTTGAGTGCAGCGGCAGCAACAGAAGTTTGCTCAACGAGCACTACTGGCACATAGACAGAATCAGACGCGAACATCTCTGAATCAGGTGCCATCTCATACATAGGCTACGAGTCCTCGACAAACGATGGAGGAAACTGGCTGTCGGACAGGACAAGGGCCTGACTAAGATCTTGCGTCTGCGTGGTCATGTCCTACAATCGTAGCACGCATTGACAGTAAGCATAGCACACAACATACTGGATAATCCATGAAAGCAGGAGCATACATGTACATGGTTCATCAGTCATCACTATCATACCAAGCACATGCTTCATCACTATCATACTAAGCACATTGTTCATCGCTATCATACTAAGCATACCGGACAATCTATGAGCACGAACATACATCTACAACAAACAACATGCTACAAATGAACCACCAATAGCTACAAATCACAGATCTAAGCACGAATCAACACAAGCACAAGGTTCAACTTCAAACTCTACTACTAATCTAGCCTACCACATGCTTGAACATCTAACCCTACCACAACTTGCAACGTAGCATAGCAATCAACCATATGAGCTCATAAATCAGAGCACTAATCAACCATGCATCTACATCAAACACAAGCTACAGCTCATATCTAGCTAGAAGGAACAGAGAGAAAGGGGGGTTGAACTCACAGAGGCCATGGATACAACTGGAGGACGAGGGGGGAACGGTCGTAGAAGATCACCACCGGCCGGTGAAGGACCGCCGACGCCGTGGACCGCCGGCCGATGAAGATCCGCCGCTTACCTGCTCGTCGGTGCCGATGCGCGTCGGCGGGAAAGCTCAAAAGGGGGAAGAATGGTGGCGGGAATTGGGGCGCTGGGGAAGGGGCTAAATAGGGCGGACTCGGCGGGAGGTGAACCGAAATCCTCCCACCGATTTTTCGACGACACGGGCAAGCTCGCGCCATCTCCCTAGCCACACAAGGAGAGAAGCACGTCGCCCTCCCCTGCGTCGCCCGAGCCAGGCTGGGCCATATGTAAGCAACCAAACGCACTCTAGACTCCTGAAACTTGGTGAGTAACCCTTTCACTTCTTCAATCAGCGCGGAGAGGTTCTTCTCTGGATCATTGAACATATCCACTACACCTTTCGAATCCAGCTCGACAATAAGCTTTGGAACTTCCATCTCAGCGGCTAGCAGCACAATACATCAGCAAGCCAATAACTAGTGTTGTATTCCCTCTATTCACTTTTATAAGACAAGCAGACAATTTTCAGTTGTCTAAAACGACTTGTAAAAGTGCACAGAGGGAGTAACATTCTTTGTTCATGGAGAAGAAACCAACCGGCAACCAGACATAGCCAAAAACAAATTCCAGTATGGCATACACCACTATGTTATAATTCAAACGCATGGTGCCTTGTACCAAGAAATTATCAAGCATGGTGCCTTGAACATCAGGTTTTGGATTGAACTGACACGGCTCGAGTAATTTTCCATTTTGCTGTGCAGTTTACAGGCACCAACAGCCAGACAGGTACATTTGCCACAGGGGTCTCACAAGTACCAAGAAAAACAGATCGGCATTACAGTGCAGTTCCAAAAATTGAAGACCAGAGGTGCTGCACAAAGCATAGGCAACTGCTCTATCGGATGAATAGCTCATTTTGGGAAGTACATCGGTTCGCCAGACAAGGCTGCATGAGGCAGAGCAGTAGGGGCTGTGCCATATTGTGCCATCTGCTGTGAAGCTTGGTACAACATCGGAGGAGCACCAGAGCTTGATCCGACTGCTGGAAAGTGCGGGCCTGGGTTTGCCATCAATAATTGGGTAGGGTACGAGGTTGATGCAGGTGCAAACGCCCCTCGCTGCATGTTAGGATTCCAGGCTGGCACTTGTCCGATAGAGGTCGCTCCTGCTGAGCTTCCATAAAAAGCAGCAGGCGTGGTGCTTTGCCATGCTGCTCCAGTTGTGCTTAGACCAGGGGCTTGACCTGCAGCTTGTACCTGAGCACTAGGATCCGAGACGGTGTAATCTCTGCTTCTCTCGTCATGTGCCTGAATGCCACAATATGTAGATCCCATATCAGAAAAAACGTGGAAGCAAGCAGTAGGAAAACAAGATGTTCCAAAAGCATTGTCAAACTGAACAAATGATAAGACTATTCCACCTAATATAGCAATAGTTTTTTTCCCTAATTGGATGCATTCATTTATTCTTTGTTAATTTACACAGCCTGAAACTATTGTTTATACCTTCACATTCAGATCAGTATGACGAGAGTATGACAGATGAAGCTTACAGTAACCACCATCATATATGCAATGTCCCTCCAGAGCTTGTTTAGCAACTCCTGCTGTTGTTATATCTGCGAATACGGACTCTGTTAGCTCTAGCAGTACTTCTGAACAGCTGAAGTTGTAGTGAATATGAATATGGATTCTCTCAAGTTAAACATTTAGATTACAAATACACTGTAATGTGCAATGCCATCTGTTTTGTGTCACTTCCAAAGAAGCATCAAAGACAGGTTAGATAAATTGATCACACATAAGACGCTGAGATGCACATTTGGACTACCGATGTATAAGACGTGTTCTCAATAGAGGTTGCAGCTAGAGGATGTGACTGTTAACCCATAATTCACTTCCTTATGTTCCTAAAATACAAATGGCGTAACAAAACCTACCACAAGAATGATATAAAATCAAGCAATCTACATAAATTCAACTGTTACATTAGGAGAGAAGAAGAAAAAAAGACAAATTCCAGTCAACAGCGTTTTCTCTTTCCTTTGTCAACTTCAGCAGTTTGTCTCAGTGGTTTCTCCATGTGTAGACCAAAATGTAGGTTTGAAATTCTGTAGCATGGTAGATTGATTTTCTTTCAACAATTTTTAAGAATTTTTTCTGACCATTTGCACCAATTTTAGGACCAACCACAGCAGTCACTGTCAGGCTAGAAAGCACTGGATACATCCTCATGGTGACTGCTACTCTAACCCAAAAAGGTAACAATTAAGGCAGCTGGCGTCTGACAGAAGAACAGGGTGCCAAGAGGAAGACAATCCACATTAAGATGACAGGAAGACATGACTGTACCAAACCTCTACTAAGAAAGTAAATATGCTTACAGGAAAAGGTAAGAAAAGAATAAGAAATTACGAAAGGTAACTTTATAGCTGTGGATAGTTGTAGATGTCCATTTTAAGTCTTCAGGGACTCCAAGACCTCTCTGCTGAAGTCAGAAACTTTGACGCATAAACAAATATTAACTCAATAATCAACACAGCATCATTAAGATGTCCACACAGTTCAGTATCACCTAAGGACTTGGCTTATCATGAGTTAACAACAGAGTGAACAAATTACAGCAAAGGAGCATCGGGGCCAGTCTACATCCCCTAAATCAAGGTGTAGCCATATCATGGCATATCCTAAAGATAATGTGATATGGTGAGGTTTACAGTTGTTCGCACATACCTGGATACTGAATTAGAGCCTGCATTCCACCATTCTTCTCGAACATTGCAATCTTTCGGACAGCACCAAAAGAAGAGAACACCTGAAATTATCTCATACAATGAGTATATATGATATATTTTCTTACAAATATTTTTCTTATTTAATTCAAAATAATCTTGAGGAAAAGATCACTCTAAAATACTCTTACAGTGTGTAGAACATCCACTCCCACAGCATACTGCATGTTCTCGATTGATGCTAAAAGTACATTGCTCTCTGGCTCCTTAATCTTCCCATCAGAGCCTAATATGGGCTGCAAAACTTACATGGTGTAAGCAGCAACAGAAGAAGATGAGAGTGACATGACATCAGATATACTAGTTTGAACTACAGGCAAACCTGTGCGATTCCCTCGATTGCAGTTGGATTAACAGGAAGATAAGGATTTGTGTAATCCCTGCTTAATCAAAACAGACACTGTTACAAACTTGTGTCTCTAAAATTAATTTTTAGCGGACAAGAGCTTAATACAAACCAAAATAGAATTGAACACAAAAAAAAATCTGTAAACTATCTTGTACCTGCTGCGATGTGATTGAAATTTAATATTCAAATCTTTGTGCGCAGAAAATGTTATGCGGAGGTGACAAATGCTGACGTGTTCAGCCAGTAGATACCTGCAATAGCAATATCACATCAGTAACTTCTATATCAAAGATCGGCTAAAATGCAATAGTAAAAAATGCACCCTTCGCGAGTTCAATGAGTAAAATTTCAAGTGTTCACATTACTCTCGTGAATTGCCAACTCAGAGTAATAAACATGGACTACCTCGGTATGCTTCTTCCATCTAACGAATTTTTTGCCTCTAGAGCAGTTGGAGCATCAGTATATTGGATAAGTGCCTGAAAAAATTTCGAGCTAGTAGTTAGTAAAAAAAATCAAGCTGTCAAGGTAATTTACAAAAATAGTAACATATATGAAACTAGACATAAGCACTATGTTACCTGGAAACCAGCGGCTTTCTCAAACGTTGCTATCTTGTGAACAAACCCAAAAGCAGAAAATACCTATTGAAAATAATGCAAAAAATAAAACACTGCAAAACGGAAAAGGAATTCATTAACTATTTGAATGCATGTCTCGTGTAATACTTACCAAATGGATAACATCTATGCTAACATCATTAGGCTGGACACCTTCAAAGGTGACAAGCAGGACATTGCCAGAAGAATCACCAGTGCCTTTATTGTTTGTTATTTCTTGCCGATTTGAATACTGGATATATACAGTTTTACCACGAACTTGGGCAGGTTCTGAAGATGAAGCATAATATGAAACCATTGAAATTGCCTGGTTTTGATCTGCCTGAAATAGGCAAATTTATGATAGAAATTCAGGAACCCATCGACTTGGCTAGAAGTTCCAATTATATAGAGCTAACAGTTCTTCAGGCTCACTTTTCACATGAAACTTCTGCTAGATCAATCTACAAAAAAACACATTTTTGCAACTAGAAAATGACGTATGCAATATTCCCCGTTGCATATAGTTAAACAACAGGAAGGGGACTGTTTTGTAGTTATTTAACTCCTCTGGGGTGGGGGTGAGGGTGGGAGGCCTTCAGAAATTCGACCAAACAGGCCATCTAACACTTGATTCTTGGGTACTCCCTATAAAGCGGCATGGCAGCAGCTATTGCTTGCACCGTTCTTGTAAAAAAATTGAGAGCAACCAAAACAGGTGAATCGTTCATGACACCAATCAGTTATGACTACAGGATGATGAGCAATATCCGTTAGCAATCAACAAACTCAAAAGAAAATAGGGAAAATCCACCGTGCGCACGCTTGTTCTCCCCTGTGGCTCGGCTCGGCTTTGCATAAACTAAATAGTAGCATCACGATTTGTTTTGGGGCCCGTAAGCAAACTAGGCCACCAGGCCCAGGAAGAAAAACGGGGAAAGTGCGCTATAGGCTGTGGTTTGCTACAAGCACTCGCTACATTGAGCACCACCGTTGCGCTATGCTTGCACGGGGGCTGCTACAGTGTTCTATCTCGATTTCCAAAAGATATACATCTTGTATTAAATAAATAAAGAATTCAGTTCTATTCTACATGCTATTTATCTTTTTGTGAATCAACGGGTAAAAACTTGGTTGTTTTTCCTAAACAATCTGACAACTGCTTTTTTGAACAACCATTGTGTTTCAAGGAAACTAGTTTAAGTGCTTAACACAATTTAACCAAGACATACATAAAAACAACAAATCACCTTGAGAAGTTCAATTTTTCTAATGTTATGATGCATGAAATAAATATGGCAAATCAGCACAAAATTGAAATGGCAATCATAGCAAATCATCCCGGGAGTTATATGTAAACAAAATGGCAAGTTGTACAAAATAAATATGGCAACTCCACAATTAAAATAGCAAGCATAGTAAATCATGCCAGAAACTGTGTGTAAACAAAACGCCAAGACAAAATAAATTGGCAACTTGGCACAATTAAAAATGACAAGCACAACAAATTATCCCAGCAATTACATGTTAATAAAACGGCAAGCATTACAAAATAAACATGGCAACTCGATACAATTAAAATAGCAAGCACAATAAATCGTCACAACAATTACGCATAAACAGAACAACAAGTAATGTGAAATAAGATGGTACCCAGTACAATGAAAAATGGTAAACACAACAAATTCCCCTGGCAACCGCGTATAGACAACACGACAAGCAGGATGAAATAACATGGCAACTCGGCACAATTTTCCTGGAAATTGCATGTAAACCTGGTAACGTATATCTGGTTGAACATGACAACCATGTGTATCTACACCTGCTTCAACCTGGCAATCATGTCAGATCATCCTTTTTTCGCTAGCATGACTCCTTTTTTTCCCTGCATGTTTATGGGCAGCTTATCTACATCATTGTGCAATGGTTGAGCTGGTGGATTAGGGAGAAGCAGCGCTAGGATTTGGTGGTGAAAACGACACGAGAGTGAGTTAAGGTGCAAGAGACGGTGATGCACGACAAGAGATTGGCCGAGTTTGGACGGCCCATTAAGCGATGGGAGAGGCTCACGTGCAAGCGCGACAAGCTTTACTGCCTGATCAGCGAGCGCCGCACGGGAAACATCAGATGCTGCGCCGCTGCATAGTAGCGTCGAAGAAAATATTCACCATACAAGAACAAGGATTTTCTAGGCCTGGCCAGGAGTTCCGATCATGAGAACAGATCTGTTAGCAATCAACAAACTCAAATAAAATATTCACCATACAAGAACAAGGATTTTTCTAGGCCTGGCCAGGAGTTCCACTCATACAGTTAATAGCTCTTCAAGCTTAGGCTACAGTCCACTTTTAACTTTTTCCCAAGTATCACATGTCTGCAGTTCAAAAATCACTTATGTGATGTTCTCTATTGCATATAAAGAGTTTGCATGTAGTATTTCTTGCACTATAGTTGACCTTGTAAAATATAAAGCAACCAAGACAGGAGATTTATATATGCCACGGGTATGCCGCCCCTTGGAGCTCGGCATCCTCAGCATTCAGGACTTGCAAAGCACCGGCATTGCTCTTCGGGTGCTCTGGCTGTGGCTCCAAGAGACTGGCCCTAAACGCCCTTAGCACCATCTTCCTCCACACTGCGAGCCTGAGGTCAAGCAAATCTTTTGATCCTCCACTTCCTGGATTTTGGGTGACGGACGCGCCTGCAAATTCTGGACCGATCATTGGCTTCAGGGCTCCTCCATCTTCGAGCTTGCTCCGGCCCTGGTCGCCCTTGTCCCTCGCCGCCGCCACAACAGCCGCCTTGTCTGCGAGGCCATCCCCAACCAGGCCTTGATCCAAGATTCGTGGCAGCCTCAGGCCGGCGGCCACCATGGAGTACGTGGACATTTGGCGCCGCCTTCGCACCACCACCCTTGCCAATGTTGCCATTACCACGGATTTCATCACTTGGCGCTGGACTATGAGCAGCGTCTACACGACAAAGTCTTGCTACCTCACGCTCTTCCAAGGATCCATGCAAGCCCCCCATTGGTAGCTCACTTGGAAGCCATGGGCCCCACTCAGCATCTAGGTTTTCCTTTTGTTAGCTGGGCTCGACCGCTGCTGAACTGCGGCTCAGCATCCTCGCCATGGCCTTCCTCATGCGCCGGCATGCCTCCTTCGCGACCAGAATACCAAGACCATGCAGCACATCCTGGCGGAATGTGTCTTCTCTCAGATGGTTTGGCATGAGCTCCTCTCCTGGTGCCGGCTCACCACTCACCCTCCAGACGGCAACACCAATTTCTATACGTGGTGGTCCTCCGCCACGCTCCCCGGCTAGCATTCAAAAGTCCTGGATTGTTGATCGCCCTCTATGATGGCGGAATGTGTCTTCTCTCAGATGGTTTGGCATGAGCTCCTCTCCTGGTGCCGGCTCACCACTCACCCTCCAGACGGCAACACCAATTTCTATACGTGGTGGTCCTCCGCCACGCTCCCCGGCTAGCATTCAGAAGTCCTGGATTGTTGATCGCCCTCTATGCTTGGTCCATCTGGAAGAACCAGAACGCAACTCAACCCTCGCTCAGCAACCTTATCCATTCCATCCAAGAAGAAGCTCGCTCTTGGGCAAGAGCTGGAGCTACAGGCCTAAGCATGATCGTCCCTGCAACC